CCTGTCTTTTTAAATGCCAGTGAGGTATGAACACCGGAAACTCACATGGGGGTAGGCTGCGTCCCCTCCCTGCGTCAGAAATGCCTCTTCTTTCCCTGCCGCACGTTCCTGCCATTTTTCCTTGTGTTGGACGCAAATCCCTGCAGCTCTGTTCCAGAACTCAGCATTCTTGGTGCAGTGATTCTGAGTGAGGTACTTTCTTCTGTGGTACTTTCTCCCCTCTCCGCTTCTCTGGAACTTGGAGCTGTTACATTTGTTCGTTCATTTGTTGAAAAGAATACTCTGGAGCTGGCATATTGCAGGTGCTGTGCTGGGCGCCGGGCCCCAGCGCGGAGGGGTCCGTCCTGCCTCGCAGGGGGTCTTGGCTAAATGTGTCTGACTCTGTTGTGTGAGGTCTCTCCTTCGCCCCGCTGCAGTACGCTCCGTGAGGACACAGACCATGTCTTGTTGCAAGGATCCAGCTTTGACATTTCAGTACCCGGCAGACAGCACATTCTTGGTGACCGTGGGCTGAGTTTGGAGGTGGATGCTGATGATTTTAAAGTTTCTCCTTTCCAAGCTGTAAGATGAGGTAACTGCCTTCCTTTTCAGGAGGGTGCAGTTAATACAAAACGTGATCATGTATGTTTCCCCCCTTAGAAAGGCAGGTAATAAATACCTCGGGGGAAGTTATCACTCACCTTCGTTTCCGGCTCCACCTATTTCTGTTCTCATCGTCTCTGAGCCCGTCTGTACCGCTGGCTTCTGCCCTCTCTGCCTGCCCTGCTCTCTCCTTCCTTCCTTAGAGGTGGGGGGGAAGCATGACTAAAAATCCTCGTGTGTCGGGGTGCTTGGGTGGCTCAGTTGGTTAAGCGTCTGCCTTCAGCTCAGATCATGATCCCAGGGTCCTGGGATCCAGCCCCACCTTGGGCTCCCTGCTCAGTGGGGAGTCTGCTTCTCCCTCTGACCCTCCCCCCACCCACGTGCATGAGCGTGCTCTCTCTCTCTCTCTCTCAAATAAAATCTTAAAAAAAAAAAGAAAAGAAAATGCCACTGTCACTCTCAGCATGTCCCTCTGTCAATATGTGTGCATATACGGGGACGGACTGTCTCCACACGGAGAACTTGACTACACGCTTGGCAGGAACACCCGCTCTGTGTGTGTTCATGAGCTCTCTGTCACTTCTGGTCCTCCTGCACATGTGTTCTTCCTGAGTCATAAGCATCTCTGACCATAAGAAAAGAGTTTTCTTAGGTTAAAGCCAGTATTCTAGCCCCTGCTGCACTGTGTGGGTCCAGGTGACTGATAAAACAGCAGGATTTGCACACTGAGGCAATCTGCCCTCTGTAATACCTGGTTGACAATGCCATAGAATCAGTGCAGAGATGAAGTTTTTGGAGAGAGACATGGCGTGGCTGGTTTGGGAGGGTAAGGGACGAAACGGAGTCCCGAACAGCAGAAGTGCTGAGCGTCTTTGCTTATGTCAACACCTTTTTTCCCCCTTGCCTGTTCACCATTACAAAAACAAAAGACATTGGGAGAACGTCATGTCGGGTGAATGGCAGGGAGAAGCTTCTAGTAACATACTGTGGCAGAATCTGGTCTTCTTTTGAAGGGGCTTAATGTACAGTAAGCTAGGTCTCCCCTGAAAAGCAGGAACATTAACCTTTGTGGGCCTGAATTTTTGTTTTTTAACTAACCTTAATTTGGAGGCTCTTCTCTAGGTAGCAAAGTCTTCTGTGTGCACAGACTAATAAAGACATTATTTACTGAGTTTTCGTCATTGTGTTGGAAACAAAATGGGGAGCTGCCTTCTGAGATGTGCTGAAACTCCTCAGGAGGTGGGAGGTGCTGGAGGGTCGAGCTCAGTTTACTGGAGGTCAGGTTACTGGTGGTCAGATTCAGGGAGCAGCTCACTCCTCCCTGGGAAGCCTGGCTCTTCCTGTGTCCCCCTTTCACAGATCCCTCCTACCCCAGAGCCTTAAGCCATTTCACTCCACTTCTGAGCCTCATTGTTTATTCAGACTCATCACTGTGTAACTAAGTGGAGAGAAAATTGGTCCTAAATTAATGGAATTGCAGAGAGAACCCTGTTGGATTAGCTGACAAGCTGCCAGGTGGAAGAGAAGGAAAAACCCGGGTCTAGCACAGGTCTCGTGCTCAGTCTAGTTCTCCCTGAGCTGAAGAGTTGGTCAGGGGAGGTGGAGCAGGGGGCCATGTGTGTTTATTCAGTCAGCCTGCAATGACTGAGTGCCTGGTGATGGGGCGGGCCCATGTAACCTCCCCACAGCGTCCTCATCCTAGAAGGGGAGATGGGCCATGTGGAGGAAAGAACGGGATTGCTCAAAGCCACAGGAGAGATTTGAGCAGGACGGCGGCACTAAATCCTAACTACATTCTGGTTTGGCCTGGGAAGAAATGGTTCGGCCTGTTTCTTGCAGAGGTGAATCTTGAACCGGGTCTTTAAAGAGGGGTGTTAACCAGGCAGACAAAGGGTAGGGGTAGGGGCCAAGGAATGCCTACAGGTATCCTCCAAAAAAAGTCATTTCAGCAGGTCTTTGCAAAAACAAGGATCCTCATTTTGAGACTCTCTTAGCATAGCAAATATAGGGGGGTCTGTTTCTGTTTTTGTAAGTAAAGTTTTATTGGAACACAGCCACACCTATTCATTCCCCTATTAAATGGGGTTGCTTTCCTGCTACAACCAGGAGTGGCAAAGCTGGGCAGACACAGTGTGGCCTGCCAAGCCTCATATTTACTGTCTGTTCCTTCGCATAAAAGGTTTGCCAACCCTTGGCATAACAGATTGTTATTCCTTGAAAGTCTTTATGAAAAGGACCCACACTGTCAGCGACCAGGCTTTGATGGCAGGACTTCATGGACTTACTGGTTTATTTTACCAGCCGGTGATTTCTCTTCAGTCCACTCTACCGCACCTCCAACTCTGTAATCTCTAGTTTCCATAATTTCTGGCTCTGAATGTCTGGAACTATAATAGTGCTTAGAGTGTGCAGAGCAGGGGGGCATTTCTCCCTAAGCATACCCTTAAATGTCCTGTTACCCCAACCCTCAGCTGTTTCAGACTCTGCTTACTTTCTTGGAACCTGTGCTGCTTATTTGCTTGGTAAATGTTGCCAAGCAAAATCCGAAACAAAAATAGGATCAGCAGTCATTGAAAAGCATCTCTGTTCTTTGGGGAGGCATCTGTTAGTGGGTTCTGGAGCTCGCTGGCCCCCTTACAAGTGAGAGAGAAGGGGGTTGCTGTAGGGAGATCTACCACCTCGAGCCTGCATTCATTTCAAAACCACGGAGAATGCGTTTCCAGAAGATCTGTGCTTTTGAAATACTGTTTTCCTAGATACATTGAGTGTAAGTTGTGTGGAATTATATAGCAAATGCCAACTTTTTAAGCACCTACTACGGTCTGTAGTGAGAGTCCGCTGTTGGGAGTGCCAGACTAGACTTTTTACAGATATTAACTTATTGAGTAAGAGCTGGATGAAACAGAGATGCACTTATTTCAGTTTTACAAGGTGGAGAAACAGAGGCTCTGACACGCTAAGTATCTTCCATGTTAACTACTAAATGACACCGCCTGCAGTCCATGATAAGGAGGATATTGATTCTATGCTCTAGTTATGTGAGTAGCTGGTGGAATGTTGCTGAAAATGCTGAATCAAGAGGCAAAGCATCTCTCTGTTTCAGACTGTCAAAAGAACTAATTTTCAAGGACAGGTACAGCTTTTGTTTTAGCCCCAGCAGCTACCAACCTCATTTAAATACCACTGTCAAATGATACTGTAGTTTGGGATCTAATTTCTCATTAGCACTTTGTATAGAAAACTGTTGGCAGTAAGTAATGGTGACATTTTCCAAGCATGTCTGGAAAATATTGTTGGTCCCCGAAGAGAAGCATGTAGGTTTAGAGTTGTCCCAGTTTCCAGCTGAAATGATGATTCCTAAACATCAGTCTGATCTTAACCTTCCCTTCTTAAAAGCATTCAGTGCTCTGCCATGCCCTTAGCTTAAAGATTAAAGTCTTTACTAGGGTGCTTGCCAGAGGCTTTTCTGGTGTGGGCCCTGCCCGAGCTCCTGTCTGACCACTCGGTACCTCCCACTTTGGCATTCCCCTCGGAGCGTGTCCCTGCATTTGGAGCCTCCCCAGTTCCTCAGACACCATCTCTAGCTGGCCCCTTCACCTGATGCACTCCTGCTTCTTAGCTGAGATGTCACTAGATCCAGGAAGCCTTCTTTGAGCCTGGAGACTGGTGTGCGTGCCCTGCCCTTGGTCTGCTCTAACATAATGTCTGTTACACTGCTGTTCAGTGGTTTACATATTTGTCTGTTGTCTACCACTAAACAGTAAGCTTTTTAGTTTCTTTTTAGTTTCGACTCTGTCATCAAAAGGAATCGGAATCCACTTGAGCTAACTAATAGAGGGGGAGTTGATCTGTGAGGAAATACCTGAAGCAATAAGGAGATCTCTGTAGAAATTTAAGGACCAGGTCCCTAAGGAGCTGTCCCTCGCAGATGTGTCTGGTGGCTTTCTCCTTCTCTGCACACCAGCTCTGTTTGCCTGTCTTTAGCGGGCTGCTCAGTTCAAGCACATGTCCTGAAGCTGCTCCTGACCTCAGTCCGTCTGTGTAGCTTAGCATGGCCCTGCCAGCCCTGCTGGTCCTTCCTCATCTCATGGCTCCATTGCCTGGTCTCCATTTGTTTGGATTCTGTTGCCCAGGTGCAAATTTCCCAGCAAGCACTGTGACTGGTATAGCTCATCCTTTCAAGCGAGGCCACATGCCTCATTGGTCTCTGGCCATCCAGCAGGTGGGCTGTCCTTGGGTCAGGTCCTCGCTGCAGACCAGCTAGACCTGCGGCCCGCTGGAGGGGTTCCACGGGTCAGAGCATGGCTCCCAGTATAGACTTCCTTTTTCTGTTTCTTTCCCTGCCCCTTGCTTGCAAGGGTGTTAGGTTTGTGTTTCATGAACTTTATGGTATCCTTTGTTCTCTTTCATCTTTACAGATATCATTAATGGAGCTCAAGAAAAATGTGTATTGCCTCCTATGGATGGCTACCCCCACTGTGAGGGGAAAATCAAGGTAAGGCAGAAGTAATGTCTGTTCATTCCCATCATCTTCAGTCTGCACCGATACCCTCTTCCTTCCCTTCCTCTCTCTGGAACCCCCCAGTAACACAGATGGCAAGCAAGCCCTTTAAGGGAGTCATTTCAGGGGTGCCTCAATCCTACCAGTTTGGGGCTGTGGCCATGACAGCCCTTGTCTGCTTATGCCAACTCCATGGGGTTAGTCAACAATGTCTCTGACTGGTCAGACTGAAGGAGCCTGGACCACTTCGGGTGCCTCCTGTGTCTTTGAAGCTGCCTTCCCCTGGCGTTCCCAGCCTCCAGCGTATGACCCTTCAAGGGCCATTGACAAGGAGCTGCCATTATGTAGGGTCCAGCTTCCCTCTCCCCCAGTCCCCAGGCCCCTGCCATGAGGTCTCCAGATTGTGATTTAAATGTCACATTAGCATTTGCAGCTGAGTAACCAGAGACCCTTGAGACACTCTTTCACTCTGAACATTTTTTTAAAAAATCCTTTTCATATGGCCTGCTGGTATGCAAGAGACCACTCCACTGCTCAGCAGTTTTCAGAGAAAAAGTCTTGGTTCCGATGTTTGCTTAGGATGCTGAGACCAAACCCCAGAAGCATTTGCATGGTTCCTGTTCGGGACTCATGCGTGCCTTACACACCTTGCACGCCTGCATTCACGCTCTCTTGTTCCAGGCCCGGTACTGGAGCTTGTGAAACTGTAGCTCTCTGGGGAGAACTGTGATTCTCTTGGTTTTGATGCAGGGGTCCCCTTAGGCAGTTCTTCTTGATGAAAGTCCCCTGGCCACTGCCTGTCCTGGGCTTTACTGCCCTGTATGTCTTGCAGCCCTCCTGTACCCTGAGCACCTCTGCTTAAGGCCCAGCTCAAGCCAGTGTCTCCCTGTGGATCATCTAAGAACTGGGCATCGGTTGTCCTGACCTCAGCTCAGTGACTCTGAGCCCCAGTCTGAGCAACTCACTGCTCCTTGCCCCTCATACCCTTGCCTTCTCTGTCAGCGGATGTGCGGGGCCACCGGTAACGGGCTGCTTATCGATGTCCTTACCTGGCTCTTGTCATTTCAGTGGATGAAAGATATGTGGCGCTCGGATCCCTGCTACGCAGAATACGGAGTGGATGGGTCCACCTGCTCTTTTTTTATTTACCTCAGTGAGGTGAGTCACTTCTCTGGCTCTGGGGTGTGGAAAGGTGTGCTTAGTCAGTTTTGCAGCTGAGCCTGGAATTCGAAAAGTTGAGAAACGTGCGCTATTTTTACATGGTGGACCTGTGGCTCCCTTCTTCATTATTTTCCCCTGCTCCTAAATAGGATGATTTCTTTTTCCTTGAGGGGAAAAAACAAGCTGATGTAGCTGTTTATATTTTCTTCCCCCGATTAAAAAAAAAAGTCTAGTAAGATACATGTAACATAAAATTTTCCATCTTGACCATTTAGTGGGAATTAAGTACCTTCATGTTGATATACAACCATCACCAGCATCCATCTCCTGAACAATTCATCTTGCAAACCTGAAACACTACCCGTTAAACAGTGACTCCCCATTCCCCCCTTCCTCCAGCCCCTGAACACAACCATTCTAATTTGTCTCACTGATTTTGACTACTCTCACTACTCCTATAATCTATACAGCATTTGCCTGTTTGTGACTGCCTTATTCCAGTTAACTTGATGTACTCAAGATTCATCCATGTTTATAGTGTATCAGAATTTCCTTCCCTTTCAAGACTGAGTAGTATTCCATTGTGTTATACCACCATTTGCTTATCCATTTATCCGTTGATGGATACTTGGGTTACTTCCACCTTGTAAATATTGTGAATAATGCTGCTGTGAACATGGGTGTGCACACAACTCTCTGAGACTCTGCTTTCAGTTCCTTTGGGTGTATATCCAGAAGTGGAATGGCTGAATCATATGGTAATTCTGTTCCTATTTTTTTTGAGGAACCACCAAACTTCTCCAAAGCGATGGCTCCATTTTACCTTCCTACCAGCAACACATGAGGGTTCTAAGATTCTCCGCATCCTAGTCAACACTTGTTGTTTTCTGTTTTGTCATAGTAGCTATGCTAACAGGTGTGCAATGGTATCTGATTGTGGTTTCGTTTGCATTTTCGTAATGATCAGTGATGTCGAGCATCTTTTTCATGTGCTTATTGGCTGAGTTAGCTATTTCTTACAAGCTGAGTTATTTACTTTTACCTTTTTTTTAAATCTTTTTAGCTGAGCCTTATTTTCGTTTCTACCCTTAAATTCAAATAGCAGCTTTTTTTTTAAGGGTTGCAGGACATTTTATGGGCCACATGGAATTTGCGTGTTGTGTGCTTCGATGATTTCAGTTTCACCTTGAGGAAAATGGAGGGGGTGGGGCAGAGTTAAGACTGTATGGGGCAAGAACAGGGGAAGAACTGAGTAGGGAATCAGAAGCCGGCTTCCCCTCCACCCTTGATGGACAAAGGCAGCACTAGGGCCTTGTGAAATGGGTGCTGGCTAATTTCAGAGGGTATATACTGGGGTGTGCTATTGCTCTTTGACCAGTAGCTAACACCAGCTCCCTGGTGCTACCACGCAGGAAAGAGAATGCCTCCATTTTGAGGCTAATGACATACTTCTGCAGTAATTTTTCGCATGAGACTCCGGCACCTCTCCTCTGTGTCACAGGGGGACAGGGGACAACTTTTAGGGATGGAGGCTAAACCAGTACATGTGGCCTTGAATTCTGTGGGGTTTGTCCCTTTCCTTTACCTTTATGTCTCTTTCCCTTTTGAGAGCCACTCAGACTTTTTTTGTTTTATGTGGTTGCCCTATGGCCACCCCATGGCCATCGTGAAGAGGCCTCAGAGCTAATGATAGTTGAATTATCTCTTGGAAATTAAAAGCACGGTGAGTTGGTGTGTGATGCTCCTCATTAGCAGGCTGCTGGCAAATTAATTGTAGCATTTATTTGAGTGTGTTTTGGGCTGGGGTCGCCTGTGGCCCACCTTCTCATTTCCTTCTCCAGAGGAGTAAGGCCTGGGGCCCTGGGTGAACCTGCGTTCCAATGGGAAGTCAATTAGAAGCACCTTCCCTGCCCCGAGGAAAAGGTTCCTTCTTCAGTTTAATTTTCAAAAGTTTCCTTCCCCTTTCCATCTGATAGAATTTAGCCAGAGTCCAGCTGTGCTCCCTGATTGACGGACTGGGCTAACTTCACGCCTTCCTGAGACTCTTCATGTTGGGCATACTGCTGAGGTACAGCTAGAGAATTGCCTGCCACTCCAGCCTTCCCTCCGTTGCCCGAGCCAGAGCCAGGAAGGTGTGGGGGAACAGTCCAGATGGGAAGGGACTGCGATTATCTGTGACCTAGTTCCCTTCCTGTGAAGCTGCCGCCCGGCCCCACTCACAGTGGAGGAAGGATGTGGCTAAGATGAGAACAGGGAGCCTCTAGTGAGTGTGGGGCAGATGGGGCTGTGGAAAAGTGTGATGGATCACGTGCTCTTAACACTGGGGCAGGCGTGTCTCACTTCAGAACCCATAACTATTTTTCCTCTCTCCAAGGTGTGGAATGGTGCTTTCTTTGCCTTTTTCTCTCCCTCCTCATGCAGAGGATCGGGCTTTTCTTTCTGTTCAGCTGAATTCGGTTCAGTGATCACTTATCGAAAGTCTGTCATATACATTGGATGTCAACAATTGGTGAGAACTCCGTTTTTTGGCACTACGATGTGCACTCAGGATGAGCCTAATGGAAGAAGAAGAATGGATGCAGGTAGCGGAGCCAGAACAGGGTGGAGCGAGTTTCCCTACAGACAGAACTAGGAACTTCTTTTTAATTTAAATCTGAAAATAACCTCGAGACTCTGGCCTTTAAAAAAAAATGCATTTTGAGGTACCTGGGTGGCTCAGTCAGCTGAGCGGCTGCCTTTGGCTTAGGTCATGATCCCAGGGTTCTGGGATCAAGCCCCGCATCGGGCTCCCTGCTCAGCAGGGAGTCTGCTTCTCCCTCTTCCTCTGCTTCTCCCCCTGCTTGTGCTGTCTGAAATAAATAAATAAAATCTTTTCAAAAATTGCATTTTATTGTAGCATCTTAATAGGTACTCTGTGAGAGTTGGAGGAGACTCTCACCACTATGGCCTCTTGGACGAGAACTTCTGCCTTAGAGCCTCATCCCTGAGGTCACACTGTTTTTGATGCTTTCTAAACACTATACTTCTGGACAAGTTACTTACCCTCTTTGTGCCTCATGTTCTTCCTTTATAAAATAATGTTTTTAACTTTGTTTTTTATCTTTTTTTATTTTTTAAAGATTTCATCTATTTATTTGACAGAGAGATAGAGCCAGAGAGCACAAGCAGAGGGAATGGAAGAGGGAGAGGGAGAGGGAGAAGCAGGCTCTGCACTGCTCTGCACTGTGGGGCTCAATCCCAGGCCCCTGGGATCATGACCTGAGCCGAAGGCAGATGCTTAACCATCTGAGCCACCCAGGCGCCCCAACTTTTTTAAAGGATTCGGCTGTGATGATTCCTGAGTGTCTATGGGAACGTGCGTAGAATAGAGCCAGGCAGATAGATGACACTCAATAAACCCAATTGAGGCCTTTATGGTTTTTGATGTTGTCATTATTTGCGGACCGTTAGGGGGCGTTTTTATGTGGGAATTTGGTTTTGTTTTACAATTAGAACCAATTTCTGGCTCTAACTCTAATTTAATTTTAGATCCTTTGATTTCTGGTGATGTAGAAATGCAGCTGTTACCCTTAACTTCTTTTTTCTGCATACGATGCTCGTGTTTGCATTGGAACTTGGAGCTGGCTGTCTGGAGCGGCAGTGTGCCCCTTGCCACCATGAATCTGAAATGACCAGAGGTGGTTCTTAAAGCCGATTAATTCTGTACTAGTATTTTTTTTTAATCCTGGATAGCATCCGTGTCTCTATAGTGCTGTTTTTGGTCTAGGTTTTTGTTTTGCTTTGTTTTCCCTCTTGCTTTTCCTTGAAACCTTTCTCCTTTTGTTACTTGGTTTAACTGCATATCCTACGCCAGGTTTCTCTTGCCACTGGGAAAACAATGAAGAGAGACCTCTTCATTTGATTGGTTTACTTGACCAACAGATGTACCAGTCACTTTTATTCTTCTCTAAATCTTCATCGAAGAGCCAGTTCTGGTTTCCATTTACGTTTAACCTCAGGACTTTGACAGAAACGAACAAACAAAAAAAGCCACAAAGTAACTATGGTCACCAGTTGAATCCAGGCACTGAGATTCAGCCCAGGCCTGGGGGATGGCCCTCAGCTTTCATTTTCCTTTCCTTCAGTTTTCAGTGTGCCAACTTCCACTGCATTACAGGGCTATGAACTTCTGCTTGTACCCTCACCAACTCGATAGTCTACATGTCTTTCTTGGTAAATCCCAGATAGAGCAGCCCGCAGTATTTCCCCTTACGTTATACCCGAGGATGCTTGTGATGCATCTGATGCTGGACCCGGGACTGCATATGGTGTGAGTCCATGCATTGCCCTTGTTGGGTGGAAGACAGTAAGAGAAAAATGACACAGTATTGAGCCTCACTGTATGCCAGACGCCTCAAATACACCCAATCTCATTTACCGCCGCCCCCCATACCCCCAACCCTGAGTAATAGCCAAATCAGAGCAGCTCAGAGAGGCTAAGTGCTTCATGCTTCTGCACTTTGCATTACTGTTGCCCCTTCATGTCAAAGAAAGACTGAACTCGGGTAAGTAAGTGATTTATTGCCTTTAACTCTGCATTCGGTTCTGTGCTCCAAACCTATTGTGTTTGAAATATGGCTCTAATTTAGCTAGTTTGCATTAATGAATCTTCATGGCCAGTTTTCGAATACTCAAAATTTTGATACCCTGCCCCCCAAAAAGAGAAACAGCACTGATTCTCCTGAGGATGTACCTCGTGAAAGCCAGGTGCTCAGCCTTTCCAGGTGGTGGGAGTGAATGAATGATTCATTAGGCAGCCTAGCATTTCCAGATCATCGGGCAGTTTATTTTCTGTATCTGTTTTTGCGAGCCATGTAACTACTCCTGTTACAGAGACAAGGCTCTATAAAGTAATTACTCCGTCATTGTTTCAGGTATATTAACTTAGCCCTCTGCAGAGCCTTTTACCGCTAACAGATTTTATGAAACTTAGAATGGATTTCTTTACCCCTGTTGCTATTACACTGGTAGATGGAGCTGAAACACCTGACACCCACCCATTTTTATCTCTTTACACAATTATTCTAGACTTACTAATTTGTGCTGTTCTTTTTAAACACTTCTGTTGCTGTTGCATGTATAGTTGCTCGAAAATAAGCAAATTGCCCAGCGATCGATGGCCGGGGCTTAGGATATATACAAGCTGTTGCTTCAGACGCCAATTTGGGCTGGGCGAACGAGTGTGCATGCTTACGTGCGTGTGTGTGAGACTCCCTCATGAAGGAACAAAGGAAGCAATTTCATGCCTTCCTCATCAATCTGTGTCTTATATTTCAGGAACAACAGGCATAAAGGTCTTTGCCTCTTTCTGTTTTCCCTTGGCAATATGTAAAACTAATATTGGCTGAGCATGCTATTAACCTTGAGTTTAAATTCAGCGTACTTAATCCCTTGATTAATGCCAAGATTAATGCCCAACAGCAAAGGTTGAAAGCTTAAA